CAGTGTATTCTTGAAAGTAAACATTTCATTTCTTTTCAGTGTTTTAAAATATTTATAATAAATTACAGAATCTGATAAAATATTTTTATATACTTTTAGAACTTTAAAATAGGGTGACTACTAGAAAGATTCTGTACTCAGACTTTGTCAAGAGCACTGCAATCCAATGGAAATATAGTGTGAGCCACAAATTTAAAGTTTTTAGTAACTATTTTAAAAATGGAAATAAAAAGAAGCAAGTGAAGTTGACTATATTTAAAGCAGTATATTAAAAATATTTTAGCATGATATTCATATAAAAATTTAAAAGAATCAAAAGGAATTATTTTAATATGTATTTTATTAGTACCTATTAATTTTATAAAATACAGAGTTTCAATGTGGTATTTTCAAACGTGTATATTTTTATTATATCCCTCTCCCCTGCTCTTATTTATATCCCTTTTCCCTCCCACTCATTTCTTTCCTCTTGTCTAATAATAGGCTCCCCTTTACTTACATGTCATCATTTTAAGATTTTATCTACAGTATTAGGGAAAGTGTGATAATTGTCTGAATATTCTGTATTTTATTTAACATGGTGATTTCTGTCCATTTTTCTAAAATAGCAAAATTATGTGTATCTATTAATTTTCTTTATTCATTTGTCTGTAAATAGGCACCTAGGCTTAGCTCTTGTGAACATGGCCATGGAGGTATCTCTGTAGTGTGCTTACTTTAATTCTGTCACCAAGGAGTGAGTAGCTAGGTCATATGGTAGTTCTGTTTATAGTTTTTTGAGGCACCTCCATAATGATTATCATAATGACCATACTAATTAACATTCTCACCAACAGTATAGGAATACCCTCACCAGCATTTATTGTTTTTTGTTTTGTTTGGGTTTTTGTATTGTTGATGATAGCCATTTTGACTGGTATGAGGTAGAATCTCAATGTAGTTTGATTGACATTTCCCTAGTAGTTAATGTTGTTGCGCTCTCTCTCTCTCTCTCTCTCTCTCTCTCTCTCTCTCTCTCTCTCTCCCTTCCTCCCACCCTTCCTCCCCACTCTCTCTCTCTTTTTTAAGACAGGGTCTACCTATGCAGTTCAGGATGGCTTTGAGTTCACTTTGTAGCTCTGGTCTCAAACTTGAAAAAATCCTCTTGCCTCAGCCTCCTGAGTGATGGAATTACAGGTGTACACCACCATGCCCAGCTGATGTTACTACACTTTTTAAAATCCTCATATTGGCCATTTGTACTTATTTTAAGAAGTGTCAGTTCAGTTCATTTTCTCATTTATTGCTTGGGCCATTTGGTCTTTTGGTGTTACTTTTTTTAGTTCTTTCTATGTTCTAGATATAATCTTCTGTCAGAAGAGTAGCTGGCAAAGATTTTCTGCCATTCTGTAGGTTGTCTGTTCAGTTAGTTGTCTGCCTTGAAGTGGAGAAACTTTTTAATTTGATATAATTCCATTATTGATTCTTGCTATCATTTCCTGTGCTGTTAAGGTCATGTTCACGAAATCTTTGCCTGTGCCTACAGCTTCAGCAGGTTCCCCTGTGTTTTCACTTAGGAGTTTCCGGTTCAGGTCTTATGCCTAGGTCTTTGATCCATTTTAAACTGATATTTATAGAGGATGTGAGATAGTTTCAGTCATCTACATTTGGATACCCAGTTTTTCCAACAACATTTGTTAAAGAGACTATCTTTTCTCCAACATATGTTGTTTACTCCTTTGTCAAGAATCATATGGTGTAGTTTCTGTGTCCTTTGTTCCATGGCTTACACTTACAGGTCTATTTTTGTGGTGGTACCATGCTGTGTGTATGTTGTTTGGTTGTTTGACTCTGTCTTTGTAGAAGGATTTGAAATAGGTATTATATCTTCAGCATTCCTCTTTTTGGTTAGGATTGCTTTGACTATTTTGTGTCTATGTCTTTTGCATTTCCATAGAAATTTTGGGACTTTCTTTTTCTAGTTCAATGAAGAATATCATTGTCACTTTGAGGGGGTTACATTGAATCTATAGACATTTTGATAATATGGCCATTTTAACAGTATTAATTCTGCTGATCTATGAACATAGGTCTTTCCATCTTTTAGTATCTTCAATTTCTTTTTCATTGTATCTTTAATTTCTTTCTTTACTGTTCTGTATCTTTCATTGTGGAGATAGATCTTTAACTTCTTTGGTTAAGTTGATCTCTAGATTTTTTTTTAAGCTATTGTGAATGAAATTCTTTTCCTGATTTCTTCTTCACTTTGCTCATTATTGCTGTATAGAAAAAAGTTCTTGGTTTTTTTAATGTTGACTTTTGTATCTTTAACCAACGGATTTTGTTTTAAACTACTAGGAAATCTTACAATTCATTGAGGAAAAATTAGTTGCAAAAATAAACAAGATACATGAACATTTTTTCAGAAGATAACATACAAATAACAATAAATATTTGAAAATATTCTCACCTTCATTAATAATTATGACAGTGCAAGTTAAATCCACAATAGAAATAATAGTTGGGGTGTAACCTAACACCTAACCAAAAAGAGATGGGGGACATATAAAAACATTCATAGAAGCATTATTTATAAAATCCAGAGGCTGAAGATAGGACTTTGTTTCTAGTTCTGTGAAGAGCATCATGTTTCAGTGAGAGAATGCATTATAAAATTGTGAAACTCAACAAAAAGTTTAGCTATATGAGTCATTTGGGCAAAAAATATAATGTATAATTGTATTCATATCAAGTTCAAGACTAGGAAAAAAATTTATGACGTTAGATATCAGACTGTTCTTTGGAGAATTGTTTTGAAGGGTATAAAAAGAAATACCTAATGTCGTGGCAGTGTTTCATTTCTTGACAGGGCCTTGCTGATGTGGGTGTTCTTTATTAGTCCATACACTTAGGATTTGTACATTTTGTGTATTCATGATATACTTTGATGAAAAACATAAAAATAGTTTATAAGCTTAAAAAATTGCTGAAATATTTTACATACATTGACTCATACCGTCATTGATAGTGTATATTTTCCACTAAAAATACATCTTAATCCATGTATGCTGAAGATCGGTTTTTTGAAATTTTACATGAAATTCATATATATTACCTAGAAAAATTAAAGGACCAAGAATTTGAAGAGAAAAAATTATATCATGTTCCATTGTAATGGGCATCCCAAAGCTGGAAGACTAGGCATTTAAGAGTTAATTCTGACTAGCCACGTATCAAGTGCTCAGTGGCCACGTGATTACCTTATTAGACCTTTTAATGTGTAATTCTATCATTTTGGAACTTCTCTGGGGTTAGATTTTCTTTCAGTCTTTCATTGGAGTGGAGGAAGAACAGGAAATTGTTCTTCCCCAGAACTCATCTTAATTACATTGCTGCATCTTCATTTTTATAGACTACAAAGCAGGTGATTATTTTTGTATGCAGGTTGGTAGGATGCTTAATACACCATTGTTTTAGTTATTTATACTCACTGCTTTACTACTTCTTGCTTTATTGCTTATTCTTCTTATGGCCACTTTCTTTTTTCTTCTGAGGCCAGGTCTTATTAAGTTGCCCAGGTTGGGTTTGAATTGGTAATCTCTTTGTCTCAGCCTCTCAGAGTGCTGAGATTAAGGCCATGCACCGCCATACCTGACTGGACTCCACATTGTGACAGCTAGATTGCTGTTGCCTGTGAACTTTTTATAAATGGGATATGTAGTGATACAGTGTATGTTGTTCATACTAGGCTTTTTGCTAGTATGGATTGTAGCTATAGGCTTCTTTGTATAGCACTTCATTATGTGAAAATAACCAGGGTTTTTTTTTTTGCTGATTAAAAGGAACATGAATACAGCGAATATTTGCAGAGTCAGCATATTTATTCAATGGGACCATTCAATAATAATGTTTACTGAAGAACTATTTTGTGTAGAAGATAGAGGACTTTTGTTTTAAACAAAAACATTCTAACGAGAGCTGAAATTCAATCTTTTGCTGCCACTGTCCTCTTCCTTAGCTACAAGAGGGAAAGGGGACAAGAGGAGTGAGAAAGGAGTGAGAAAGTGAGAAAGGAGTGCTTTTGGCTTTGTCAGTTCTTTTAGTATAGTGCCACTTCCTTAGCTATAAAACACTCACTACTAAAGTTCTTATGAAGAATAAGATAGTACCTTTAAAGTACTTTATTATAGTACATGACATGTAATAGGCAGTCAATATATATCAGTTACTATTGTTTTCAATTTTTTTATTAGTACATGTTTGCAGTACATACTGATTGCATTCCTCCTGGGAGCTGGTGCACACAGAGAGTTTAATTCTTTCTTCAGCTCCTTTCTCACTCCTCTTGTCCCCTTTCCTCCATCTCTTAGTCCCCTTCCCCTTTGGCAAGAAACCTACCTCATGATGTATCTTTCGTTTTGCTTTTTATTTAGCCTAGTGTTGACCATGGGACTGTCCATAGTTGACCTCTGAACTGTTGTCCTCTGTTTCTGCTCTTTCTTCATGTTGGCTTCAGTAAGTTGCTACCACACATATCTGATTGTGTGGCACTACCTCTGATACCATCTTTTCAACTTTAAAAACCTTTGTGCTTTCTTCTGTCTGATAAGAAAATCTCAGTGCATAGACAGCGTGTAGCATCTTGCCATCTAACTCTTGTTACCAAACCGTCTTCTGCCCTGACCATCCTCCGGGTTGCAGCCCAGATAGTTTTATTTTGCAGCGTTGCTTGTGTTCTTCCTTCTGCCCGTATTTCCTGCTGTAGTCTCACCTCCAATTTCCAAGTTCTTCTTCTTCCCAGTTAAAGATTTTTTGGTTGCTGTTTACACATCTCTTTTTAGCATTTATCACTATATTAAAGTTAATTACCCGTGTCTGATCTCTAACTTGTGAGGTCCTTAAGGACAGAGACCAAAACTCATCTTTATATCACTACCTACTAGAAACATTGTAAAAACATGTTGAAATAATATATTGAGATCTGATGTGATTTAATTTTCAATTTGTTTTTATTATTTTAGGTTCTTGGCCTTATCCAGAATATGAGTGTTTTCCAGTGTCCAAAATGTAAACACAAAACTCATATCTTTGGTGCTGATGGTGCAAAGAGGCTGGCACAGTCCCTTGGTCTTGATGTCCTGGGTAAGACCATATGATATTCCTTTACAGTGCAAGTTTCAGAAGAGAAAGTGGAGATGAGGCTTGGTGGTAAAGAGCATGTCAATTAGTTGCTTTTGGCTTTGTCAGTTCTTTTAGTATAGTGCCATGATATGTGTTTACTTTTCTTTGGCTTTTTAAAATATGTCTTTCTGGGGCTGGGGATTTAGCTCAGCAGCATAAGTGCCTGCCTTGCAAGCGCACAATTGAGTTCAATCCCTGGTACCAAAAAAAAAAAAAAAGTACAATATGTCTTTCTTACCAACTATGATAAATAATCTCTACTTTAGATAAAAACCATCTATAAATTACATTTGAGAAGAGAATTTTGCGGTCCAAGTAACTGTATTTGTGGTCCAAGTGATTTGAAGCCATATTTTAAATGACAGTCATCAATTTGGTTATTAAATTAGCTATAAATATGTTTGTATAAACAGATATACATGAAAATACAGATTTTTGGATAAAATACGATTTTTCAGAAACCCACAGCGAACTAATGGACTTTTTAGGAAACAAGTTTTTTTTTTTTTTTTTAATGTTCTGGGCAAAATCAGATATTAGATGGTGAATAGGGACCACATAAAATAAATTATTAGTTTTAGATAGTTAAAAAATTAAAATCTCTTGGAGATCAAGGAATTTCAAACAATTCCTTTACTGTAATTAAGTTTCTAAAAGTTAAATGTATTATTGTTATCTATTTGCACTGTAGCAGAAACTACAATATCAGGTGAATGCTAATGATATATTTTAATACATTGCTATAATTAAAGCCACTAATTATATTCTGCAGCTATATTTCATTTCACTAATGTAGAAAGTTCAATTATCCAAATCTGTATAATAACATAACAGATTGACATTCACTTATATAATAAAATAAATGTGTAATTATAATGGCATTATTGAATTATACTTACAGTATTATAATTTTCTAACTTATAAATGAGTGGCACAATTTTGTAAGTCATTTATTTAGAATTTGAAACATCTTATGGAGAGATATTCTTATATTTGGAAGTTATGGATTCAACCTATAGCTCACAAATGTATAGTTTTCTGAAAATGTTTCAGAAACAGTGATTACTAATCACAAAAACTGGTCAGGGCCATAGACTGCTGTGTCAAACAGTGTTATGGGAAAAGTAATTTATATAGTTCCAACTCGGGACTCATCTCCTTCTTTTAATATAATCACAATGTCCCAGAGGTGTCTCCCATCAACTGGAGTCGGGAATCCATTATGAAAAGGCTAAAATTGGGACGAGTAACTGAAATCAGAGAAAGTTCTCTCAGCTAAGGCCTTCCAGCTGTTCAGACTCCCTAAGAATGCTGTTTGTCCTGTTTCAACTTCCTAGCAGCTGCTTAATTTATTTTTATTCTTTGGGTTATGTTTTAAATGATTATTTGCTAAAAATGACTCCTCAAAATTTTGTCCATATTTGCTTCCAGTGAGAGTTTATGGTCAGCAGTTAAAGTCTCAGGCTATCTCAGAGAAAACCCTGTAATCTAGTTCATATCTGAGCTGTGCCCTCACCTCTTTCAGAGCTGGCCCCTCAGAGACACTTGTCATACCCGAACTGGTCCTTGTTACTCTTTACGCCATTTCTCCTCCCTTGATATGACTGTTAGCCTATGACCATCCTCACTGTTTTCTAACAAGTGTTTCCCTTTCATAGTCTGCTACTGTGTGAGTGTTTGGGGGGCAGAAACAGTGCCAATAGGTGGCTATGTAAGGAAGTGTTTACTTTTTTTACTTACATTTATGCAGTAGAAATGATGTCATCCAGGATTCCAGACTATAATGGTAGTTCATAAACCAAGGGAAAAAACTGGAGCCTAGGGATGTAGCTGAGCGCATGTCTAGCATGTGTGAGGCCCTTGGTTCCCTCCTCAGCACAAGAGGGGTTAGGAGGGAAGAGAGGAAGCAAGGAGAGGAGAGAGGGATTTTTTTGGTGGGCTTCAGGACATTTTCTATAATTTATTATGCCATGTCTGTCCCTGTGACAGTTTCCTACAGCGTTAAATTGATCTATAGAATAGACATAACATTTACTGGAAAGCTAATTTTTTTTTAATTTTATTTAAGGAGAAAAAAGAAAAAAAAACAGAAAAAGGGTACAAGTTATACAGAATTTCAGAAAAAACAAACAGTAGGAAATCACTAGTTAATTACATATTGTCATCTTAGAAATAGTTGTTGAAGTTACAAAATTAAAGCATATAGAGGGGACTTTCAAACAGTGAGACTGCAAACAGTTTTGTTCAATGATCCAACATATATGCAGTTATATCTTTTAGAGAACTTTCTTTTCCTTTCTTTTGTACAATGACAATTACACCTTTTGGGTTTTATTGCTCCCACAGTTCTTATTACTTTTTTTTTTTTTTGAAGAAAGTAAAACCAAATGTGACATACCAGGACAGAGTCAGTCAAATCAAAAGGATGGACATAATACATAATGTAAAAACAAAATACAAGGTGATCAACAATGGTTACCATAATCCCTCTTGTTATCTTAAAAAGAATTGCCTATATCATCAGTTATAATAAAATTGAACAAAACAGTAAAGAATAAGACCAATAAAACCAAAACATTGGAGACATTAGAGGACTTCAAAAGAAGATAATAGTCAACCAGAATGGGCGTCACAATGAATCTTATTGTCTTCATAGTTGTTGCCTATACTTTCAAATTTGGTACTATCAAGCATAACAGAATAGAGGAAAATCAGTCAAAACAAGACAGTGAAAGCAATACAGAGTTTCAAATCAAGTTAATAGGAAATCAAAGTGGGTTACTGTAATATATCCTGCTATTTTTTATTTATTTTTCCCTTAATTAAAAGGATAAAAATGAAAAAGTAGATAATAAAAAGGAGATGAGATTAAAAAAAAAAAAAGAGGGCATAACAACAAAACAGCGCAGGTCAAAACATAGCCATTTAAGCAAAATAGTGTTTCACCACAAGATAATCTCGACATAATAGTAGTTACCATAGTGTCTCTTTCCTTAAAATCTTTGGGTATAACTTCGTATACTGTAGCATCAAACATATCAAGACAGTGTAAAACCGTTCAAGAGAATGACAGTATTACAGGGTATTTAGAATCAACTAACAGAAAATGAACAATGGTTTCTGTATAATTTCCTTGTCTATAAAAGTTTTTGTTTATATTATCACATATAATAAAATCCAATAAGATACAACACGTTAAAACTGATGGAGACAGAAGAACAAAAGCTTGATGGGACTTCAAAACAAGAGGATATTAAATCAGCACTACTTATTATGATGTCTTGTTTTCTCCAAAATGGCTGTTCCTACCATCCAACCTTCTCTGCCTCATTTCTGCTGAGCTCTTTTTCTGTCATTAGTTGTCAGTTTGTCCTCTTCATTTCGCTTTCTGCTCCATTCATTGTGGCCTCTCTGCCACTGTTTCTGGAATCTTGGTATTTTTCATTTTTAGAATATCCTGCAGTAATCTCTGTAGAGTTGAATTGGTGGTTGTAAATTCCCCTAGTTCCTCTTTATCCTGGAAGCACCTTGTTTTTCCATCAATTTCTAGGGACAGTTGTGCAGGATATATCAATCTTGCTGGAGGTTATTATCTTTCAAAGCTTAATTATTTCCTCCCGCGCTCCTCGTGATTTGATGGTTTGTGCTGAGAAGTCTGCTGTAATTCTGATAGGTGTTCCCTTGTAAGTGATCTGTTTCTTGTCTCTGATGGCTTTTAATATTCTGTTCTTATATTGGATTTCTGGAATTTTGATTACTATATGCCTGGGTGTAGCACTGTTTGGGTTGTAGGTGGCTGGGGTCCTGTATGCCTCATACATCTGAGTATCTTTACCTTTTGCTAAATTAGGGAAATTCTCCTGGATTATTTCTGTGAATAGCTTTTGTAGTTCATTTGTTTGTGTCCCTACTTCTTCTTTTATGTTCTTAATTCTTAAGTTATGGCTCCTCTTATCATCTTCTAGACTTTGTATTATTGCTGTTTGTTTTCTTGTTATTTTTAAGAAGTTTTTCATTTCATGCTCCCACCTTACAAATCTGTCCTCCAGTTCTGATAATCTATCCTTAGTTTCTTTCAAGCTGTTATGCCAACTTTCAATAGAGTTTTTAGTTTCCTGGTAATCTCTTTGAACCTGCTTCACGTATTCTATGTTTTCTCTATTTTCTCCATCAAACAATTCTCCCCTTTTTTTCTGTTCTTCCATTCCACCATCTGTTTTTTCTTGGGCGGTGCTTAGCATTGCTCTAACTATTCCACTTATTTCTTGCTTTATTTCATTAAATACTTCATTTTTGAACTCATCTATGAGGTTCCAGAGACCGCTTTATGTCTATAGGTGCCGTGTCTGATATTGCATGTTTGCTGTTCTCATTCTCCTTTGCACTTCCCTTTCCTGGATCAGTGTTCTCAGGATTGGGGACTGAGGACCCTTTCTTATTGTTCTCTCTTCCCATACTTTTTGTTCCTTCCATACAAGCATATATAGGAGGCCCAGTTTTTTTTTTTTTTTCTCTTTGTGGGTTACAGTTTGTTTGAATTGCACTGGCTAGGTGTTCCCGCCCACTGCAGTGTACTAGGGAGACACAGACCTAAGCAGCCTCTGTTGGGCCCGCCCCTCCAGGTCAACCTCTGAATGCTTCACTGCTAGGGTGTACCACCAGGCACAGGGACCTGATTTGGGCTAGCCTACTGAATCTTAGTCCGCGGCGTCACCAGGCCAGGTGCTCCCCACCACTCCTGCTTGAGAGGGGAATATGCGACTAAAGTCACCGCAGGGCCCTGTTCTGGCTAGTCTGCTCGTTCCCAGAATGTCCTCTGTTAGAGCCTCCTATTCTATGAAAGGGTCCCCATTTCTCTCACTCACTGCAGGTCGATACACGGCTCCCTGCCAGTCCTGCTCTCAACACCTTTGATTCTCCACGTACGTCTCTCTCCCTCTCCCTGCCGTGTGGATTGGGATGCAGTATTGGCAGCAGGAAATTCAAATCGCGGCTTCCAATGGCGCGGGATCCAGCTTCCACACTGAGGTTTTATCTGTTCCTGTTATAGCATCAGGATTGCATTTCCAGTTGGTTTCTCTCAGCTTAGTTTGTTCCTAGGTTGGCAGGGTACATCTCCCCTCAGGTAGGACTCCTCACACGGCACTGCTCCTGGATTCTAAACTGATAATCTTAGAGAGCCTCCGTGGCTGCTGTTATTTGTCCGCCATGTTCTCCTGGAACTGGAAAGCTAATTTTTAAATGCTTAGTGAAATATCCCTGTATTTTGTCATTTGCTCTTAGGTATTAAGGTAAGACTCAGAGTTAAGATTGAAAAATTTGCTGACAACAGGAGCATGAAATATCTGTTTCTCTGACATCTACTTCATAATAAATTGTAAATTTTTGCAACACATACTTCTGCATTATTTACATTGCCTGGCAAGGTGCTGAATGACTTATTTATATAAAACACACACACATTTCAGTAAACTTTGCACAGATTTGGAGTGGTTCTGAGATTTCTGAATACTATGTCAGGTACTTAAGACTCCATTTATTGCATTTTAAATCTCAGTGTTTGAAAGACTTTATTTATGATGGTGTGGTGGAAAGCTGGTATAGGATAATGGGACCATTTTACTCTTAAATCCCATCACCTAATAGAAATATATCCTTAGGAAAGATGTGTAACATCTCCAAAGGTAGTGTGTATGTTAAAGTCTCATATTAAGTGCTTCCTGAAAACTCATCAAGCACACAGGTTTATACACAAAGTAACAGAATTGGTTATTGTATTAAATTAGTAAATAGTAAGAGGAAATAATTCTGTCGAAGAGGCAGATAATTGAGATAACAGGTCTGGTCTTTTTAATCTTCTCTTTGCTCACTTATTTGCCAAGACGAGGAAGATGATTTTGTTGTACTTTTTTGTACTATGCTTCTGCATCTTTTCCTCTTTGATTTTTTTTTCTTACTATGTGGTATAATATACCTGTGTCAGATATTATGGGAGAAAATCTCTTATAAATGTCTTCCAAGCCATTCCTTGCTAAAAGACATCTAGTGAAGAATGAATCAGAGGTCTCATCTCTTGTCTGCTCGCTTTCATGTATACTTCTGTAGTCACCTTCAAGTTGACTGTTTTGTCCTTTCATTTTCATTTCTAGAGATTTAGTAAATTGAGGATAGGTATAACTCAAGTTAATTCAAATGAGTTCATATTTTATTTCTGTTCAAACTGAGATTCTAAATGTCTTGCAAACTTCTCTGATAGTAACTGACATCTCTTGGGCTCTTTTAGGAGACATTCCATTACACCTCAGTATCAGGGAAGCTTCCGACAGGGGCCAGCCAGTTGTGTTTTCACAGCCTGAAAGTGATGAGGTAAGTTACATGTTTATTTATTTTTATTTCCTTGTCAGATACATACTATTTGATATGTAGAGTTGGGAAGATCAAGCTTATCTGTTGGCAGGACATGCATATATGAATAAGGATTAGCTGGGCGTGGTGGCACACTCCTGTAATCCCAGCACTGAGGTGGTTGAAGGAGGCAGGTCATTGCAAGTTGGAGACCAGCCTGGGCTACAAAGTGAGCCCAAGGCTAGTCTGAACCAAATAATGAGACCTCGTCTGAAAAAAGACAAAAAATAAACAAGGATTAGGGAACTGTCCAAAATATTTTTGATATTTACTGTCTTACCTGCTGGCCTATTAGTGTTACCTCTAAACTATCAATTCAACAAATTTACCTGCATAGAATCATCACCTAACTAGTTTTCTCAAAAAGAACACAAACAATGGGAGTTTATAAAGTTCTCATCTTGCTGGCTAGCAGTATCTAATTGTTATTTCAGTATTACAAAATCAGTCGATTATTGTGAAAGGAGAACCTAAAGTAAGAAAGTATTACATCCGATAAAGAGCGTCCAATTATTAGGGATAAGATGTTTATTGCACTTATTGTAATAAACATAATGGCAGGTTAATTGGGAAGACTGGCACTGTTTCATTGGCCAGCAACCTGGGTATATGGGTGACAGATTTTCAGAATTGCTTATACCTAAAGCCTTTGGGCTAGGGATGGCTCAGTGTAGAGTTCTTGCCTTGGATGCCGGAGGCCCTAGTTCAATTCCCAGTACCCCTCCCCACAAAACTTTTAAGCATAAAATCTCTCATTTCAATCTTTTTTAAAAAATAGAAATAAAATCACATGCTTGCTTTGGCAGCATGTATACTAAAACTGAAATAAAATAGAATCATATTTCCTAAAAAGTACTTGCTATTTAACTTGGAAATTGAGTTGTCATTTGGTACATCAAGATTTTATGTGTTTGTTTGTTTGTTTTTTGATACAGGGTCTTGAACTCACTTATATAGCCCAGGCTGGCCTTGAACTCACATCAGTCCTCCTGCCTCAGCCCCGAGTGCAGGGATTACAGGTGTTGCCACCACACCAGGCTGCTACGTCAGTTTTGGTTCCCTTTTCCTCCACACTCCCAGCCAGTCTTCCAATAGTTTTCTTTTAGTTACTGATTATAATTATAACATTATAGTACTATGATTTTTTCCCTGTATAACTATTATACTTTGATTCTAGTTTACTTCCTTTGATCGTATGTGAACTAGAAAATAAAAGGCCTGGAATGATTAAATCTATAAATAAAGTTAAGAGTAAATGAAGTTAATCAGGAGTCTTGGAGAAGTGAAGCTGATCCATTTTGAGTCATCTCTTGGGGGCCCAGAGGTTCTTTACTTTCCATGGAATGGCGATGTGAATAGATGCAGTGTAGTATTATCACTGTTCTTTTCTGTACGGTATGGCTTCATTTCCCAATAATTGCAAGGTTAGTTCAGTGTCTGAACTGTGTTATATGTATAAGCTGGCTTTTAGTTCCGCTCCTTTCATAATATCACAGAGGTCTGGAGAAGAAATGGAGAAGACTGTGCCCATCAGGCTCTCTAGGTGTGCACAGGAGCAGGGCATAACACTGAGGATCTTAGCCTGAGCCTGAGAATATCCTGAAACTATATCCATTATGTATGAAGGTGCATTTTTCTGGGGAATGGGGCAGGAGCTTTGTCAGATTCTTAAAAGGGGGTCTCTACATGGAAACAAAAGCACTGAATCTGAACCAGCATAGTTTCATTATCAAATTTTTCACTTCCTATGTGTAACTTTTCCCTAACTCCTTGAACCTTAATCTCCATTTAGAAATTGATGTCCTAAGTAAGATTTGATGAGATATTATGAAAATGCTTTCAAAAATGTCAGATAGAATGCAACTGTACTTATTACCTTCTAAAACTTCCTAAGCTACATGACACTAAATGTCTTTCCTCTTCTGTTTATGAAGGGCTGAGTGCACTTACGCCCTCACCCTGACACAGCATGAAGTAAATGGGATTCTTTGATGGCATTTAAAATGTAGAAAAGCAGAATTTGAATCGTGAAATGAGAGTAGAGTTCCCAGCTTCAACATTAAAAATGTTAGGAATCTGCCTCATTTCTGGAATCAGGATCCTTCTAGCTAGTTTTGTGATGAAGTTTGCCTGGTGATAATCCCCTTTTCCCTTACAAACAGCCACAGCCCTTTTTAACAGATCTGTGGCATCTGTGGAAGCCCATTGCCCACTCTACTCACATGAAGGCAGCATTAATTTGATAGCATAAATTTCTGCAAAATATGATAGAAATTATAAAATTAATTGTTAACCTCTTAGCCTGACACTTTTTATTGTTTGTTTTTGGGAACTGAGTCAGAGATAAAGTTACAATCACCGGAAGTTTTATTTTTCACTGTTTTCCTTCGTACTCCACCTTTTCTCTTCCATATCCCTCACTTCCTCTTCCAATACCAGAGGCAGAGCTCTATCTTTTGGCCCCCCATGAAATTTAGGGCTGAGAGATTTAACTTTCCCATTAACATTTAACTTTGAGAAAGACAAACACTAACGAGGAAGGCACTGGTCAACTTATGAATTGTGAATTTTTGAGATATCTTGGAAACATTGGAAGGTCTAGTGGTACCAGTTAAAAAGCACTAGCAGGTTTATGATTACCCAGCAAATGGGAAAAAAACTTCCTCACATATGTACTAGTTAAGAAGCAAGAAGAGTAGATCCTTAGAACTCTTAAATTCAATAGAATTGTTTCATGCAGACTGGATTGTAATTGTTGATTGGACTAAAAGTATCTTTTCCTTTGACTGCGACTCAAGTAATGGACACATGTGGTTTGATCTTTGTTATTAAGTAAAGTTTTAGGATACAGAAAGATGTGCTACATCAGATACTCCTCATAAAGGCTTTCTAATATAAGGGAAATTTTATTCTATAATTTCTAAATTATTACCTCGGAGTTTTAATATGAAATGGCTGTGCATGGTAAGTTTGGGCTTCAAATATTAAAAACACAAAGGTAACTTCCATCGAGTTTCTTGCACTTCATTTACCATTAATTCCCATTGCTTGTTAATGACACAATAGACAAATAGGGTCCAGCTGTATTATCTGGCCTGAAAAGGCCTTAAAACAGACCCGTCATGGGAAAGTTGATAGTCTATGTAAGATGAGTAGATGAGAGGAAGTAGTATTAACAGTTTGAGAAATCTCAAACTGTTATCTTTTTCATATGTATACCAACTGCGATCAGAACTTACAGTGAATATTTAAAAATGTATTACAATAAAAGACACAATGCCTTTTATGCCCCCTCCAATATTTCCCCTCCTTCAAACACAGCCCATCGTTCTTCCCACTTTCTGAGGATTCTGGAAGACCTTCTTGTATCTTTTATAAAGTGTAGTACAGTACGTGGTGCGTGCCACTGCCAAATGCCGTCTAGCAGAAATGCAGGCCATAAACACATTATAGTGTATCCTTATCTACCTTATTCACTGAATCTGGAGCCATGTGTCTTCTGAATCTTCTCCAAAGTCAAACTGACCACAAAAGGTAAACATTTCAAATTGATTGAGAACAGCTGAGGCCGTGATGACAGAGCAATTAAAGACGTCCTAGAAGAAGGACTTCCAGAGGTGCGTCAGAAGGTGGTGAGAAGAGTGGGATGGTGTGTCAGAAGCAAGGAGAAGTATTTTGAGGGGAGTTAATAATAGTATATCTTTTACTGTAATAAAATTTTTAAAATTTAAATATTCACCATATTTTTCAAACACCTCATCTGTGTCACCTTCTTGCTAGCTACGCTTTAAACAAAAGGAGTGATTTAATTTTCCTCAGGTGGGAATAAGGCGTAACAAGTGTGGGTATGAAGGAAGTAGTTTTAAAGCTCCTTAAAACCGTGCAGCTAGACACTGTTATATTAATCATTTGTAGCTGTGGAGACTAGAAGGGTTAAGTAACTTGTACAAGACCCCTTAGCAAAGAAATAATGAAGCCAAGATTCTAAATGTGGCCTGACTTCAAGGGCCCAACCCTTCACCAGCAAGCAGTTCTGCTTCCATTCTATATCATTCTGTCACATGGATTTGGCAACACAGTGCTTTTCATGCACTAAGAACTAAAATGTATTTGCCAAAATGATACAGCAATGGCTGAAAAAATTAAGTCTCCAGTTTTGTAGAAATTGAAACTGTTTAAGCACTTTCAGTGATTTCTCAGCAAATGACAATCTGTTACCTTGAGCATGATTTAATGGAGATTTCCATTGAAAAGCAAAGTTAAATATGGCAAATGTTATTATTCTGTAATCATTCAGAATGTTTTTGGTATTCTCATAGGTTATGTATCTAATTAATGGGGGTTAGTACTAAGAAATTACAAAGTGATGTCCTTTCCTCAGCTTGCTTTAATGAACTTTAAATTTTCATCACAAAGTATGAGACATAAATACTTAGATAATCACTATGAGATAAAAGCTGTTTATAAAGATACATGGGTAAAAACTAGCATGTTAGATATGAGAGAAATATTTATAATTCATTTCTATTTTTAGGCAAAAACTATTGTTTCTGTCAGCTATAAAACAGTGAAACCATTCTAGACTATGCATTATGATTAGAATTTCTTATGAGTTCACTCATAAGATAGTACAAAGAGCTGGGCTTTGAATTCAGTTGAATCCAGATTTCTTCGACTTCGACTCCGGATTTCACGAGCTTGAACAAGTAACTCCCAGTTTCTTCATCTAAGTTGAGCTAATGGTGCTTGTCTTACATGATTGCGATCACTTTGTGCGAAGTGCTTGGTATTATAGGCATCCAGTTAAAAAAATTAAAGCCCTATTCATCTTTTTAGAGCTTTTAAAAGGACTTTTAAAATGAAGTTTTAACACTTGGATAAAATGAAACATGGCTCAGCTGTTAGGGCTCGGAATAGTCTTTAAAAATGAAAATGTGTGAAACACCCTTAAATCACTTCCCCAAGTCAGCAAACAGACCTCAAATATCTCTTTTAACTGCAGAGTAGGAGTTAGTATGCTTTGGTTCAAAGCCCAGCTCATTACCTACTGGCAATAATACTTGAAGCAGATTTTGCCTTTCTGGATCTTTTCCTTGTCTATCCGGTGATAACGGCAGGATTTAACCCCATGATTAACAGTGCAGGCAAAAGGAAATGCTTGGTAAATATTAAGTGCTCAGTAAATTTTGACTGTTATCATTAATAGTGATAGCAGTATGTAGGTAAGTGTATCAGTGTGGAAATTAGTGGTTTTAGAAATTCTTGCTATTATGTTTTATAATTATTTCTTATGAGTCAGGTAGGGAAAGTAAATAGTATTTGTATTGAAATTATTTAAGAGAATTCTAAAAACATAAATATCATAATTGTTGATGTAATGTGGACATGTGGGCATTGCAGTTGTTTGTGGCCTGCTGTGTGGCTTGGGGGCTACTCTTAGTAATTCACTGCACTGGGGAACCCAGAGATTAAGAGTGTGATGACTGAACCAGAATCTTGCCTGATACCCAAAATTTGCTAAGTGAAAGTTTATGACTTCTCAGTGCTAGTACTGCAAACTATTCTCAGGAAAAAAGAAGAAAGTACTTTCTAAAGATAAACCAGGGGGTGGTGGTAAATAATCTGCCTCAAAATGACTAATATTTCTTATGCCAAAGAAGTCTTGGCACTAACTCAGGTCATCAGTTTGTCAGAGGAGAAAGGTATAATTTTTCTCCAACTATCCTGACTTGCTGGTTTGCTGATATGAGGACTAGAGTTTGAAAAACAGTATTTTCTGGTTCTAAATGTTTCTTGCAGGAAGTCACCTTCCAAATAATTACCATTCAAATCACCTAAAATTCTTTTCTGCTCCGCTTGCAGTGTACACAGCATCATCTTTTCATAACTGAACTTCCTCCTCCCACCTACTTCCAAATACAGACGGCATTCATGACAGACAGTTCACAAGTCACTCAGTGTCGTGGGGAGACACACAGAACAAATGAATCTTTCTCTTTTCCAGGCCAAAGTTTACCTGAGAATTGCTGTGGAAGTGGTGAGAAGATTGCCACCACCTCCAGAATGATTCCCAAGCATGCTGGAGATTGACCTGGTACTTGACTCAGAAATGAGCTGTGTGGTGGAGGAACCTGAAGAAATATTAGCAATCATGAGTTTTTTTCTTTCATTCCTTAGGAAATAATGTCTCATTGTCAGATTTGATTTGTTATAGTGTGACTCATAAATAAAATTTTCATGTATCAATGCTAATTGCTATATTTAGGAATTTTTTTGAAAGCTGATATGTTATCAATTGTGCTTAGTTGTATTTTATTTTATTGAACTATCTCTTATGGAATCATGATTTTATGCTATTACTGCCCAGTTTTTGGCAGGACCAAAGAATTAGTTATTTAAAGAATTTACTAATTTATGTATGGACATTTATGTGGCACTTCCCTAGCCAGCACTTTGTTCTGAGTTTGAGTCTGTCTCTGATACTATCTTAGACATGTTCTTAATAAAGAACTTCTTCATTTAGACCAGATTCTGCCCAGACTTAATGAATTTGAATCTCCAGGGGTGGGGCCTAGATATTTTTTTTTTAACAAGATCATAATAATTTTGATGATGCTTTGGATTATGTCAGCAATAATAATAAATAATAGCATTTACCAGTTGCTTCCTATGTGTCCTCACAATCTTTTCTTCTGTTCACACAAGTTGAGTACTATTACTGTATTTATTTTCCAGGTGAAGAAATAGAGGTATGAAGTGTCCTACCTAGCAACGATAAGGCTGGGATGTGAGCTTGGGAAGTTCGGTGCAGGATTCTTCCCTTTGTACACTAATGTGCATGTGTTAATTTCAGAAAGGTATCTAACATGCACTGTGAGCATGAAATACTCCCCCTTCCTTAGAAACATTTCATAAAGTTCTTATTTTAAGGCATGTACTTTGGAAAACATGTGTCTTGACTTACTGAAACTGAGTTAAGGACTTTGCAAGGTCAGGTAGCAGATAGACAAAAGCTGCAAGCTCTGATAAGAGTAAGTCATTAGTTAATCACAAGGAAGTGATCTGTGACCTCTAGCAAATCTTTTGATGTCCTTTGCTCTCTAGTTATCAGCCAGAAAGTTACACAGAGTTGCACATCATTATATTTTCACAGAAAAACCCTTACAGGGATATTTGTAACAGCTTTATCTGTAATAGCCAAAACAACCCAAGTGTTCTTTCACATGTGAATAATTAAATGGTGACATCTTGTTATGGTTGAGATCTAAAAGGTCCCTCATTGTTCAGAGGTGGAGCTTTTGGAAGGTGACTGGAACGTGGGGCACTGTACTCATCAGTTGATTAATGCATTGCTTAGTTCACAACGGAGTGTGCTGTTAGGAAGTGCAGCCTGGCTGGAGGGGGATCCCTGGGGGCGTGACTTGAAAGGGTCTATTGCCCCCAGCTCTCCCTGCCTTTTTTCTCCCTGATTCCTGGCTGCCACTGGAGTGAGCTTCAGTCCTCCATCACCTTCTACCATGCTGTTTTTGCCTTGGAGCAGCCAGCCATCATCTGAACCACTGAAAATAAGGCAAATGGACCTTCTCCTTTAAGTTGTGCATGTCAGTTATTTTGTCCCAGCAATGGAAAAGTGGATGAGTGAAAAGGCTAGCATCAAAAGATTGTGTACTGTATAATTCCGTTTATGTACTATTCTTGAAAGACAAGGTTATAAAAATGGAAAACAGATTAGTAGTAGCTGGTTAAGGAGAGAGAGGTATGGAGGGCATTGAGTGTGGCTATGAAAAGGCAACATGAGGGAAACTGGCAATTGAAATTTCTGTATCATGACTTTTGGTGTCAATAAATACTTGTTTTGCAAGATGTTACTTTTTGAGGAATTTGTGTTAGGGCACATGGGCTCTGTATGTTGTTCCTTACAGTTGAATGTACATCTAAGTTCTCTCAAAATAAAAAGTAAAAATTTAACTAAATATGCAGTGCTGTATGTGAACTGAAATTATTTGGGCTGTATTACCCTAATTCATACAATGAGTAAAAACTTCCGTGGATATACAGTAATCATCATTCATCACTGAAAAGAAAGTAATGACTTCAAGTTGCAGTTTCTTACTTGTTCTTATTGTCTGTTTGGGAGGGGACAATATAAATGAACAAACTTTGGAAAAAGAATGATTTATGTAAGCTTCAGAGATGCTTTAAGTTGTGTGCCATGATTTAATATACCTAAAAGGAAAATGGGATAATCTTTGCTCATAAATACATGCCTTGGCAAAGATTCACAGCTTTTACTCAGCTAGCATCTTCAGATGCTTTGGGGAAAACTACTGAGAAAATACAAATTTTAAAAAAGTTTGGGGGCTGGGGATTTAGCTCAGCGGCATAAGCGCCTGCCTTGCAAAAGTGATTAGAGTATATGTCAGTCATGCTTAAGAGCCAAGGACTGCAAGGTGCAGTGTTCCATGCCTGTAACCTCAGCTCCTCAGGAGAACAAGGAAGGAGGATTTCAAGTTCAAGGCCAGCCTAAACAATTTAGTGATAGCCTGTCTTAAAACAAAAACAAAAACAGAACAACAAAGGAAAGCATGGAACTGTCCTCCAAGCACAGCTAGTCTGTTGTTAAGAGGTAACACTCTTCATTCATCCCATTTCCACAGAAATAGCATTCTTCTATTGAGGAGGGAAAGAAAATTGCCTCACTCCGTTCCAGGAAAGGAGGAATGACTCATCTTACAGAAAATTTTCTCCGCAATGCCTCTGCTTTTCATCACAAGGTGTTCTGCATGTCTTTGATTTCACCCAAATTCTAAGATGTCTAAGGCAGGCTGCATGGAAGCCTGAGGCTGTCCATTTCTGCATTGGACATGAGTGGGCAAGGTCATCTAATTTAGGTGAGCCTGTGTAGTGTCCCATTGTGGTCACACATTCTCCACTCCAGCTCCTGAGTATAGTAAAGCTAAATTGTTTATTTTATCCGAAGTCTCCGTCTCTCATTTCAGAGCAGTGGAACCTCACTTCCCCTAGGACCACCCTCTACTCTTCTGTAGTTCCACCTTCAGTGTAAATTAAATGTCTGTGTTTTTCTGGATCCATTTCTGGGGTCTCTGTTTCATTGATTTATTTGTTTTTGTTCCAGTAACTTTTTTTTTTTTTGCCATCACTTTGTTCTTCAAGAATGTTTTGGAAATTCATGATTCTTTGTTTTTTCATATCAATTTCAAGGGTGACTTGGGAAGCTCAAAAGCAGCAACATATCTGCACTTAGCATAAGGAAAAAGTAGCTGGGCATGTAGCTCATGCCTGTAATCCCAGTGTTCCAGGAGGCTGAGGCAGAATTGTAATTTTGAACCCAACCTAAGCAATTTAGTGATTGAGAACTTGTCACAAAATTTCAAAAACAAGACAACTGAAAAAACAAAAAACTTTTACAAAAATGCGGGGGGAAGGTAACTGGGAAAGATTTTCTTAGTGGAAAGGATCTGAGGAGGTGAGTAGCTGCCACTATGAGGAAATCACAAAGCCCTGCTTGTTGCCTGTAGAACGCATGCCATAATGGGGGGGGGGGCGGGAAGGTAATGCAATAGCCAGTCTTCTAGACCTTGGCATAGATGAAGACCTATTTTTACCAGAGGAAGAGAAAATAGAACAACTCTATTCCTAGTGGAGAAACAGGAAGTCCTTTTGGATCCAAGCCAGTAAAGATATCCTGTCACTAGGGGAGGAGTAAGATCTCTGAAAAATTGAAATTGCCAAGACCCAGGGTCACAGGGCTTCTTTAAAGCTGAGGCTAAACTAGGACAACAGAGAACCTCGTGCTCCCCAGCAACCTAGCAGGCACTACCTGCCTAGCAGTCTGCCTCTAGAGGAGAGGCACAAGATGAAGAAAGAAAAAATTGAAAGTTAAAGCAGGGCAGGAACATTAAGGGGAAAAAAATCAACTTTTAACCTAAACACAAGTAATACTAGAGGTAACCATAACAACCACAAAATCTAAACAAGATGAACTGACCAGACAGCCCTGCACAGTAAAGCACTGTCAGAAGATGAACTATGTTCATTTCTAAACATATGCTCTTTTATTTTATTCTTTACTGCCCTATGCATGCATAGTGCCCAATATTTAATAATTTTTTAAAATTAAGTAAAAGAAGTCAAGGAAAATCAACCCCTGTGTCAATAGTCAAAGCAATCAACAGAGCCAGACACAAAGACAATCCAGATGTTGATATTATTGAATGGGTAAGTTTAAATGCATGAAATTAATATGTTGAAAGGTCTAATGAGATAGGTGGACAACATGCTTGGGCAGATGAATTTTAGTGGAGAAATGAAAACCATAAGAACAAGTAAAATCAGTCAAATTTTAAAAAAACAATAGCAAAGATGAATGCCTTTGGGATCATCAGAAAATTTAATACATATGAAGCAATGAACTTGAAACAGGAAGTACAAAAGTTAAGATAAAGAGTACAAAGTTACACACATACATATACTATGCGAGGAGGTGGGCAAGTTGGAGTCTTATCAGGAGAACAGGGGCACATAAGGACAGATGATATACTTTAAGGAATTAAGTAATGAAAATTTTCAAAGACATCAAACCATGAAATTCACAAAGCTCAGAAAGTCCAGAGCAAAATTTTTTAAATCCAGATAACGTGATATGGAAATGTTGAAAGTCAGAGAAAATCTTGAAGGCTGTAAAAGAAAAAAAGTCATTTTACGTATAAACAGAATTATAGCATTATTATGTCAGTGGAGTGACATTTTGAAAGTGCTAAAGTTAACAGCTTTCAACCAAGTTAAAAACAACATTCAGAAGGTAAAATTTTGCCAACCAGAAACTGAGAGAGTTCATTAACAACTATAGTACAATAAATGTAACAGGAAGTTCTTCAAGTGGAAGGAACAGAATACCAGACAGAAACTAAGCTATTCAAACAAATGAAGATCTCTGAAAATGGTTAAGATAAAAATAAAATACAGGAAATACTGTTTTATCTTTAATTATTCTAAAAGACAATTGGCTAAATAGCAATGTATTATTGGTATGTAGCAAATGTAAACAAAATATATGGCCACCATAATTTAAAACATCAGGCTATATTGAGAATCCACTATTATAAACAACATGGTATGAAAAATGGTATATATTTTAATGGAATAATTAAAACTGAGCATTACAAATAAAAATCTTTACTAACATTTTTAAAGTTAAATAAGCCAGTAGTGGTGATATAGTGGAATTATAAAAAGTACTTTTTCCAAAGGCAAGGAGAAAAAGTTACCAAAAAAAAAAAAAAAAGAACAAATAGAAAATGTCTAGAAACATTGCAGACTTTAATCCAAACATTCGTAATTTTAGTGAACAAAATTGCTTCACATGTACTAATTAAAAGGTGAATGTCCAATTGGATATAAAAGAAAGGCCTAACCACTATGTGTTCTCTAAAAGAAATCTCTCTCTCTGTCTGTCTCTCTCTCTCTCTCTCTCTCTCTCTCTCTCTCTCTCCCCCTATCTCTCTCTTTCTCTCTCTGTTTCTGTCTCTGTGTCTGTGTCTGTCTCTGTGTCTGTCTCTTTCTCTCTCTCTCCAGGGCCTCTCTGTGTTTTCTATGCTGTTCTTCAGCTCCTGGACTCAAGCCTCATCTCAGCCTCCCAAACACTTGAACCATAGGCAAGGCCATCACACCCTATCTACAAAAATTATTTTAAATACAAAGATCAAATGGGTTAAGGTGAAAAAATATACAAGGTAAACATTAATCAAAAGAAAGTGATTAATATAGGAGTGACTATGTATCAGGCAATGTTGGCGTTGGTGTAAGGAACATTACATGAAGAGAGACATTATATAATAATAGAAGTGTTAAGAACCAAGAAGATGCACCAGTTCTAACCATGTATCCCATTAACAAGACAGCCTTGAAATACAGGAAGCAAACACTGATAGAACTAGAAGTAAATAAATTCAGAATTATTTCTGAAGACTTCAGTACTCCCCTCTCAGGGAACATGGAACAAGAACACATGATCAGGAAGGGGCAGACCAGACCAGACCAGTATTTACAGGCCACTTCATCCCAAAAGAGCAAAATATGCATTATTTTTGCATATATTAGGAACATGTACCAAGATAGACCATGTTCCAGCCATAAAACATATTTAAACATTTAATATAAACCATGTAAAATATGTTCTATTATTGTAACAAAATTAAATAGAATCCAGTAACAAAAAGATGTCTCCCACATGTGGAAATAAAGCAATTTTAAATGATTTTACACAAATGAATCATAACGAAGGGAAATTATAAACATTTTTAAATGAATAAAAATGAGAACAAAACATCAAAACTTGTGAGATGCAGCTAAAGCAACGTTTAGCAATGTTAAAACTCCTACATTAAACAAGGATAAAGATCTCATATCAATGAAGTAAACTACATAAGAACCTAGAAATCAAAGAACGAATAGAAAAGGAAAAAATCAGTACAGTTGAGAAGGAAAACAATAGACAAAACAATGAAATCAAAGCCAGTGTAAACGTAGAAATCCAGATCTGTGGGACAGAATAGAGTATTAAGAAATATACATACATAGATATGGCAATTTATTTTCAGCAAAAATGACAAGACAATTCAATGGATAATGGTTATTTTCAATATTATGCTTGAACAATTAGACAACTTTTTGCAAAGAAATGAGTCCTCTACCTTCCAATTCTACAAAAAAAAAAAAAAAAAAAAAAAAAAAAAAAAATTAAAATAGCCCATATAGCTAAATGCAAAATTGAAAGCTATGATACTTCTGGAAGGAAAACACAGGGACAAATCAAATCTGTAGGGTCTTTTGTTATGCAAACATTTCTTTAAAAGACACAAAAACCACTCTAAATTAAACAAAGAATCAATCGCCTGTTCAGTCCTGCTGTCCTGGCTGCCTTGATGTCCCAAATCTTCCAGAATGGTTACTC